ACATTGCCTGTTATTAAAATGATCAATACATGTGGACAGAGGTTTATGACCAATGCATCATGGTCAAAACCGAAACAGAAGTTTACCGAGTGCATTTCCGTAACAAACTGAACATGTTTAATGCCAGCGATTAGGGCCGCGTCCCTAAACGAGTACAACATCCGTATTGTGTAATTTGAGGGCACAATAAACACCATGTTTTTAATGTCACTCTTATAAACTATTTCTGCCGTTGTCTTTATATTCAACACTTGTAATGCAAACAACGACTCGATATATAACTCCATATTAACCTCATTGTTAATTATGAGCCGTACTTTTGGGTGCCGTTTGTCCACAAAGTCAAAGGGATAGCGATTGAGCTCATCGTCCGTCACATCCCTTCCCATAATGTGTTTGATGTCAAACGTGTGTCCATTCAGGTGTTGCTCGGCTTCCCTCCCGTAGAGTATATTCTGGCCGTCAAATGCAACACAATTGGACTCCTGATGACCACTCGGATCGTATAGCAAATTAATTTTACCATCATGTTTATCGTAATAATAAACATCAATTGGTTTGCTCTCAAATGCCATAATAAGTGTATGAGAACTAAATTCTTTGTTATCATTTACTTCCGTGTATTTGACTTTCTATTTAATAATAGTTTGTTCAATATTTTCTCGATTTTTATTACATATTTCCCGTAAATACTTGTCAGCAAACTGTGTCTTATAGGCCATCACAAGCTGTTCCTGTTCTGACCACAATTGATTCCACAACTGTTGATGACCATGGTCAACTTGGTCCCACTCAATAACACTCTGTAGTTGTAAAAACTGGTTGCAATATTTTTGTTGACATTGTAAATGGATCTTGTACATTTCATTTTTGATATACTCGTGGTTTTCTACATTTTTATTTAACTGCTCTTGGTAATTGGTCTCGAGATAATCTTGACAATAGTGTTGACATACGTTAATAATACTGGGTTTGCATTCTTTTAACGATAGTTTATCCGTAATTGCGGTCCAAATAGTATTGCAAACAAAGTTGTATTTTAGGCGAAATGTTTGGTCAGTAAATGTCCCGCTTTTTAATAAACTATTCATTTCTTTGTCGTATAATTCTTCATATATTTTGACACGATTTTTCATTGTTTCCTTATTTTGGGCATTAATTTGCAATATTTTCCTCTTATATTTTTTCAGCGCATTTTTGGTCAATTCATTATATTTTTTGCACAAATAGTTATCATTTTTAAACAACTCTTTGATCTCTTCATCCGTCAGTAAATGGTTTTTCAATTGTGTCTCGTCTATGAAATACACGTCCGATTCGTATAGTTGTTCACATTTGGCCACAAATTCACTATAGTTTGTGTCAAAGTTTGCATAAAAAACTTTCTGCTCATTAATAAAGTCTATCAATAATTGGGAATACAGTTTACTTAATTTTTTGACCATGCCACATTTTCGGTCAAACAAAGTATTTACTCTTTTTGAAATCTCGATAAATATTGGGCCAAAATTCTCGCTTTTTATATTAAATTCAAAATTTTCATTGAGTTTATTTTGTATTATTTTTGTGAAACTTTCTTTCGTGTCTTTCACCATTTGGTCGCCAATTATTACCCTATTTTTGCACTGAATATCAAATGCGATTTTCTCATCATTTAATTTGGTGTCCAGTGATTGTCGAAACTCAGCGCATACTTCAGCCGCAAATTTCTGATTTACCTTCACATTAATTCCATCAAAACATTTATCACGGGCTAAGTTATGACCCGTTTGTAACGCCTCTAATATATCGCACATTTCATTATCTATTTTGTTAGAAACTTCTGCCTTATAGTTGTCCAATAACTTTGCTTTCAATAAAGTTAACTCGTTGTGGTCAACACCACCTGTAGTGCAAGAACTATTGGTACCATCATCTAGATTTGTCTCTAAATATTTATCCATGCTTATACTTGCAAAGTTTTCATCAAGATTATTAAACTGTTTTATTTGACTCGTGATCAATTTCAGTATTTGCTCGGTATTTGTAAACGTCATGTTTTGTGTAAAACAATTAGCATCTAGGACATCCAGTTGTATAAATGCAATCATTTGCTGTATATAATCCCCGGGAAGTTCCCCTGATTTCCAGTAATTGTGTTTGGCTGAATGTGTGGGACAGGCGACTAAATACGTGCCGTTTTTAGTAAACTCTTGATCAAAATTTTGGTATTTTTCATATTGGCTTTTAATAAATAAACTGTTTTTCTCAATATTAATGCCTTCCCATTGGTTGAATGTGTTGAGAAACCTTACATACGATATGATTGGGATCACATAGCCATTGCCCGGTTCATCAGGGTGTTTCTGTTTAGATAATAAGTTAATTTTTAAATTTTATTACAAATACATAAATACTAAAATTATGCATACGTTTAGACCAAGTTTGTTAATCACAACAATAGTAGAAATTTTTGATATAAGGCGTATCGTAGAAATTAATGTAACATTTAAAGTTAAATCAGTAAATGTATATGTGTATTTTTGTAAATTAAGCAATATTACTGCCACACTTGTATTATCATAATTAAATATTAACGGTTCGGACCACATTTCTATGGCAGGGCTACTGTTTTCAACATTATTTTCAACAAATCCATAATTATGCTCCAATATTATCTCGTCTGGCCACTGATCAGGGTTAATGTGTTCTCTCTGGAGGTAATTTAGTATGAGATTAGCAGTGAAAGTGTTTCCCTCGAAATGCGGTCCAATCACTGATACGATCGCTATTTTATCAAATTGTTTATCATTTAGTTTACGGAATATTTCTTCGATTAAATGTTTGTTTAAATGAAATGTGTTTTCAATCACTTCAACCACTCGTATGTTTGCCATTGATTTTAAATTTTGTCTTAATTGTAATAAAAATAAATAATAATTTTGATAAATATCCAACAATTTATTTTATTCATACAACAAATATTTAATATTAAATACAACTTAGATCTTATCTGTAATTCGATAAACTCTGAAGTAATCTTTTGTTTAATAAATATTTGTAATTTTATAAAATTTTCTTAGAAAAATAGATTTTTAAATTCTTTGCAAATTAATCATGATTAATTCACTATAATTATTATAATATGGTAAATATTATTTAAAACTCATGCTACAATTTATTCTTAACTTGTAAACTAAATAGTTATTAGACTAAACTTCTCAGTTACCTTATACACAAAATTCATTAATACAGTAATGAATCATTATTGATTTCTATAATATTACAATAGATAACATTTAAACACTTACTTTAATATTAAATCGCATAAAATTCTATTCACATTACAAATAAATTAGAATTCCATTAAATTAAATTATATTAATATATTAATTAATATACAGTATAACACAATGCTTTTAAAAGAAAGTTAAATAACAATATTTATTATCGCATATTTTGTGAAACATAAAAAAATAAAATGTGTTTCCAATGGTTTTACTGATTAATAAATCTTATATCACATACATTATTTTTTAGTTTTATCTACATACTAAAAAGCATAATGTTATATATTTTTATGTTCTTTGTTAACGCCATTTTAAAATATATAAAACAACTTAAAATATATCAGTGAATTGGTTCTCAATATATTTTACTTTTAGTTTTAAAAATTTATTAAATAAAACATGTATCATAATAATTATACAAATAAATTAAATTTGTAAAAATGTGTGAATTATTAAAGAAATTTCTAATTTGTGATAAAATTCCGGCAAAAATTAATGAAAATATTGTAAAACTACATGTTTTTAATGACTCTGATAATAGTATAAGTGTATTATTTATAACTAATAATGATATAGTCTATGCTTTTGGACATAATAGCAATGGATGTTTAGGTTTTGGCCACAATAATGCTATACAATCACCAGAAATAATACCACAATTATGTAACAAAAATATACAATATTTTGTTAATGGATTGAATTTTGTATTAGCAGTGAATGATAATAATGTTATTTATGGTTTTGGTGATAATAAATGGGGACAATTGGCAAACAGTGATCAAATTAATCAAGATTGTCTAATACCAGAAGTAATATGTCATTTTAATAATAACAATATTGAACAATTATGTTGTGGTTATAATCATATACTAGCCTTAACCAGTGATGGCCGGGTGTATGCCTGGGGTTACAATAAATTCGGTCAAATTGGTTGTGGTAATAATAATGAATACATTTGTACACCAATTGAATTAGTATTTATTAATAACTGTATTATAAAAGATGTTTATTGTTATGCAAATATGTCATTTGCCACTACATCTGATGGACTTGTCTTTAGTTGGGGTGACTGTAGTGGCTATCATTTGGGACACAATATATCCGATATTAAAATATTAAAACCCCAAATGATATCAACCATAACCGATGTAATAACAATTAGTTCTACAACATATGGCACATATTTTATAACTTCTAAAGGTATTATAATAATTTGACTATTTTTATAATCATAAAAATTATTAAGGTAATAAATTCAAATTCATTATAATATGAAAATAAAATGAAATGCATTATGACTAAAACACATAATTATCACACAATAGTATTAAATATTGTATCAACTTTTTATTTAACTTATTTATGTTATTATTTAACATAGAAAATATTATGTCAATAGAAAATATATAATTAAATCAAACATTTTATAACAAATAGGATTTCTTTACTTTTGTGGAAAATATGATGAAAACAATACAGAAGTGATTGAAAAAATTCCCAAACATATACTATCGAAGTATCGGTTCCAAGAGTTACAACAATTCAAATCATTAAAATTTAATGCAAATAAATTATGTTCTGTTTTAATGGATGATTACATTAATATTATGACTAATAAACATGAAATTAAAAAAACTACTTATAATAATTTCGTCGACTATTACGCTTCCGAATACCACATTACTTACAATACAATTAATTTAAAATTTTCTAGTAATGTGTATTATAAAGAAAATTTCATTGAGATGTCAGCCATAGGTTCGGGTGCTTTTGGGACAGTATTTAAAGTTAAACATAAATTGGTTGATAAGATATATGCCGTCAAAAGAATACAAATTAATGGTAACTTACTGTGCAGTGTTATTTTATTTGAAAATTAAATTTTATTAATATTTTCACAGAATCAAAAAAATTAATAAAAGACAAAGTTTTAAATGAAGCGATAAATTTGGCAAAACTGGATTCGGATTTTGTTGTTAATTATTACCACTCGTGGATAGAAGAAAAATATTTGTACATTCAGATGGAGTACTGCTCACAAACTCTCGGATCTGTAATCAAAGACAAAGATATTATATTTGACAAAAAATTGTTGAAAGCAATGGATATCTATGAATATTTTATATCATGTGAAATATTCAGGGAAATTTTACAGTGTTTGCAATACTTGCACTCGCGTACGCCCCCTATAATTCATCGTGATATTAAACCGGAAAATATATTGGTCTTGCAAAACATAAAGAATGATACGTTTCTAAAACTCGGTGACTTTGGTTTGGCCACCGAGCATCATGACCAATCTCAAAGCCACACACAAGGGGCGGGTACTTTAAAATATATGGCACCCGATGTGGGATTTAATAAGAAATATGATTTCAAAGCCGATATATATAGTGCTGGAGTGATTGGATTGAAATTGTTTGAAATAAACACTATGTAATTATTATTATTATCCATATTTTATTATATTATATTTTTGTTTATCATACATAATTATATTATATTTGTAGTGATCACAAAAAATACAATTCCACTACATTTTCAACACACTTTAATCATGTTCAAAATGTTATATTATCAATGGTTGAGTATATGTCCACTAAACGGCCCACCAGTGATCAAGTACTGAATGAGTATAATTTCTGGTCAGTTGATAAACAAATAATTAACACAACCGATCAATACATCAATGAAGTTTTAACTAATCTCAAAAGTAAAGATAACACATTTTTCTATGATTTTCTATTGTGTAAATCAAAAAACTGCAAGAGAACTCTTTATTATGAAGTTAATAATGGTACTATCATAAATAATAAACAATTTGGTTCCAGTACTCAATTGCCTGACACAGCAAACATTGATACTTGTGATCAAATTAAACATAACCTGGTTAGTAGTGAATTAAAATTAACCGATAATAAAGTTATAGACGAAAATAATCAAAGCTCAGTTACAATATCGACTATTGGTATAGATTTGGGAACAACCAATAGTTGCGTTGCTTATTATAAACCTGGACGGTTCAGTGGAAGGATTGTTGTTTGTAAAAATAACAATTGTGAAGTGACTCCCAGTTGTGTCGAGTATAGAGACAACGGGGAGGTAGTGGTGGGCGAAGAGGCGAAGGATAACATGTTTGCTAATCGCCGGAACATTATCTATTCGGCCAAACGTTTGATTGGCTGCCCGTTTGACGACCCGGACGTTACCAGATATAAACAATACTGGCCTGTCGATGTTGTCGATACATGCAACGGCGCCACTGGTGTTGAGGTAATAGTGGACGACAAGGTTATGCAACATTTGCCAGAGGAGGTGTTAGCTCAAGTGTTGCGTAAAATGAAAGCCGTGGCTGAGAAAGACCTAGGTCACTCGGTTATGAATGCTGTAATTTCAGTTCCAGCATATTTTACGGATTCCCAGCGAAATGCCACCAAAAACGCCGGCATTTTGGCTGGTCTTAATGTACTAACTATAATTAATGAACCAACGGCTGCCGCACTTGCTTATAAATTGGATCGAGTTGAAGACACGAGTACCAGGTGTGTTTTTGCAATATAAACAAGGTTCAAAAATTGTATCAATAAGTTTACCGCAATAACGGATAACTATTTGAAATTTTTTACTTCATAGATTCAATATTATCCTTAGAAGTTACGGAAACTTAAACCTGATTATTAACAATAGGATTAACATTGTTCACAGACTTAATATTAGTTCTATAGAATTAACATAACCCATATGATAACATTAGTCCTATGTTAATGTATATCTATGTTGAATTCCGTGTATTCTAATAAAAATTACACATACGGATTACATCGAAACTGATATTAGTCTAAAATGTCACCACTGTTTGTACGAAATATATTGTGTTACAATCATAGTTACATTGTATAATAGTATGTACAATATCGTATAATAGTACATTTGTACAATATATGACAATTATTTGGATTGTGGCCATTTTGAGACGATCTCGGGAACAGTGTTTTGTAATTTATACACAATTAATGTAAAGTTACAACACACTCGAATTCAGTATAATCTCCGGTGAACAATATCTCAAGAATCTCTTAAACAATAGACAAACAGCCGTCTTCAGGGATCCATTACCAGATAATCTAGGTCACAAATGCTTTTGACAATATAGATCAAATTTGTATGGATATTGCGCTAGGTCAAGTTTAAATGTTTCCTATTAAAACAAGGATTACACAGCGATGCTATACGTTAACCACAATTCGTGGAATGGATTAAATATTTTTAATTGTTCAATATTATTGTTAGAATATTCTCACTATTATTATTTTGAGAATTTTAAATGTTTTTGACAACAAT